GAATTCGATCGATTCAGTTTTCTTCAGTTGTTTTTCTGATGATAAGTATTACTTCTTTTATTTCAAGAGGTGTARTTTATTGAAAAAGGGTCTCGAACATTAATCCGATCCACTTTTTATACCTCTCACAAAAAAGGATACCTTTAAATCATGATTGCTAAAAACTTTGAATAATTAATCCAATAAGTGCATGTTTCAATAGTGTTCGGGTTAATATAGGATGGAAATTATTTTTTAAATCAGAAGCATTTGCTCGATATACATACCTTTCCACTGTAAGCAGTTCAAAACAACAGCGCACGCAGCTACCTATCTGCAGGTTAGTGTGCGCGGCATAAAACAGCTGGGAAATCCCATCGATATCGGTATTAACTATGCAGCCTRACAACGAACAGCAAACAAAATGACGTTTTAATAAAACCTGATGTGATCACGATTGGATGGTCGTCATGTCAGCTGCTGTTGTTTGTCTTATTAGTAAAGACAAGTAAGTTGCACTAAAATATTGCTGTCGATCTTGCTTAGCTTGTTCACAGGCTGCCCAGGCTATTGTCTAGAATCAATTACAATGTCTCACACTGAAAAAAAAATCCATAATCACTTTTTATTTTTTGTTTGTCTTTTTTTCCTTTCTCTTTTTTTCCTTGCTCTTGATAAAATATCCTATTTATAGTTATAACATCGTCTCTGAATAAAGTTTGATTTTTACATGTAACTCTGTTTTTTTATTTCTTCACCCTCCTATGGACTTGACAAGGTCGTTCTCCCGTCAACTAACTTTTGATTATCACGCTCAAAAAACAATTGTCCTTTCCTTCAATATAATTAAAACTTCACTCAATTATTGCTAAATATCTAATCTTACCTGAACTCAAACTTAACAACAATCCAAATAAAAAATCACATTCGCCAGATATTTTGGAAAAACTTCAGAAAACAGAAAAACACCCAATCAACGGTTTTTAATCGGGCACGAGAGAAATTGTCTCTTTCTTATTCTAACCTTCGCGTGGCACCATTGAGATGCATCACATTTATGGTACAAGCTTTAAAAAATGTTATTCAGATGTTATAAATATAAATGTAGTAAGGAGCGCTGGCCGGCAAATATTTCTCTTATATGCCAAATTCTTGATGAGTCTAGATTGCAACATGATTTATAGCGCTAGCGTGTCATGTCCTTCATAGTTAACTCGAAGTGAATGGTTATTTGATGGTTTTAAGAGCATCATTGAGAGCGAACTTGAGTGAGAACGTTGGGAATCGCTTTGAAGTCGGAAAATAACAACAAGTAGCTAAGTGAATGGTGCAACCCTGACAGGATCCCCCAGGGATTGAACATTGTACCCATAAATGAATTAACCTTTGTATATTTGAATGATAAAATGGACGATATATGTTTATACGTATTTCCTGGTTTTTGTTTGATAAARAGGACTTGTTGTTGAATTGATATTACGATGCCCATTGTCTGTGTTGAGGTGGAATTTCGTTATCGTTTCATTTCTGAACTAATTACTTTCGACTTCTGTGTTTATTCAACCTATATTTTCAAGTTTAGAGGTTTATATATTACTAGTACATATCTTTCAAGATAATGTTGGGCTTCTCTTTATTTCGTACTCCACACCGACTTACAAGCGCCTCCTGAAAACTCGTTAAGCTCTTCATCAGTTACAGAAATGAATCGGATAGTACGTTGCCATAAGACAAAAATGTTCAACAATTTAAGAAAAACAAGCACCGTTGTTGAAGCAAGCTGAAAGAAGAGATCGTGATGGCGCGCGAAAATACTGAAAGGTGATTGGTCGAGAGTTATTTGTTATTTGTTTCCATCAAGGGATCTAGCTCCCAGGCCATCCCTTCTTGAGAATTTCACTCAAAGTGTTCAATGTTATCAGTCCCATTGTTTCTTGGGTTTCTATTTTTGTTCCTTTTTATCTTGTGGACTTTCTTGCCCCAGCACCAAACTTAATTTCTTTGTCCTTCAATCTACTGATTGACCACCATGTTTTAAATTRATCTTTTTCCTTGTCCATTTCTTCCTTCAACCTATTCATGACGTYCTCCGGGTACAAATTCATCTCCCCGATAGGCTGGGCGATACCTGCTAGTTGGTCAGCAACTTCGTTGTAGTAGATTCCTGCGTGGCCCGGAATGTATGTCACGTGTAATTTGGCTTTGATGTTTTCCAATAGCGGTACCCACGAGGCTTTCACCATACCTGTCTGCAGTCGCATAACTAAGCTTTGTGAGTCAGTAAGCATTATGACGCTATCATTTATCGTAGACACGGCCGACAACCAGATAAGTGCATCTTCAAAGCCTTCTGCTTCAGCACGGAATGAGCTCGTGCGGCCATGCCTACCCGCACACCATCTGTACATACGTTTACCACCTCTCCATGAAGCTCATCCCCATGCTGTGACGTTGTCTCTTACAGAACCATCTGTAGCAATAACTACGAGAGAGTGATATTTTGTTTTATCATATGACCCGTATTTCGGCCCTACGCGCGCTCTTTAAACCTTTGGGAAATGGTCACGTGCTGGGGGCCGCACGCCTTTTCGCGACAGGGCCGTACACACCCGTGTTTTCCCGGCTTGAAGTTCCGCGCGCTTTTATTTAGTTTTTACATTAAGAAACGCTGTCATATTATAAAATGCTTATTGACTGAGTTAGGTCGGGCCGTACGGGAAAATATTTGCTTCTCGGTCATTTGTACGTGCGCTCGGTCCGTACGGCATAACCTCGAGCCAAATATTTCCCCTACGGCCCGTCCTCTCAGTCAATAAGTACATGATATCAATAATATCTTCATGACTGGGTATAACACTATGTTTTATAACAAGTTTTAATATTTTTCTTACAAACTTTATTTATCATTAAATTTAGATGAAAATCATTATTCACAGGCTAATGAAGACCACTATATTTCATAAACATACAAAGTTCTTCTTTTGTGTTCATTTGATTATTTTAATAAAATAATTATTAAAAATAATTATTTTAAAAATAATTCTTAGATGAGTGTTAAAGTCATTTAAACCGTGAAATAGATAATACGCCTTATTACGCTTTCTATTGTCTATTTCACTATCATACTTTAATAGTTTTGTTTCACGGTTTCTAATGACTTCACTCCATTACTCTTTATTATGCGTGTTTTTATTTATCATTTCAGTGTATAACACTGCATTAAACTTTGACTATTAATATCTTATTAACCTCGCTTGCTCTAGCCGTACGGGAAGTTATGGACCGAGTTTTTTTCCACTGACTTATGGCCAGAGCGCGTAGTWAAAAGGACCAGTGTGCACCATTATGCTTTGCGGGCCGCGAGGGTCAGGAGGCGGCAATTTTCAGTTTACCGAAAGTCTATAAATTGTACTGTATGCTTCGAATCTTTGACCATCTCACTTTTCTAAGCACTTTAAACGSTAACATAAGAGTTTTCAAGGCATCTTTAGGTATCTTAGAAGTATAATAATAACAGAGCACCGCAAACCATAATAGTGCAATCCTTTAACGCTGAGACAATATAGCTGTAATATTCTTATCACAATTTTGAGATTTTCCACTTGACATTACTGCCAACACTTTCAGAACCTGAAAATTACAAAGTTATTATCAATACTTTTGTGATAAGGTGAAAAGCACTAATGCACAAATACCAGATATAAAACCCTGGAACTACAAACACAAACGAAGAAAAACGCGTTGTAAAATGGGTCACAGCTAAGACCGAACGGGAGCATGGCAGGGCAAGGAATGGCATGTGGATTGTCTGCAGTGAATAATAATTACCTTCTCTACGAGAAAAATTATTTATAGGGAAAAATAGGATTTACATTTTCAAATAACCAAAATCCTCTACTATCTTAGTTTATAACTCATGACAAGATTTGTGCAGCGACGCGATTTTTAGTACAATAAAGCCGCATGTAAAAATGGCACAACTATACTTGTGTTTCTGCAGACCAAATCAAAACCTGATCATGGGAGCTGTTTTAGCGGCCACAAAAAAAGACTACAACTCCCATCATGCTTTGTAGCACAAAATGGCGTCGCTGCCTTATAGGTAAAACTAAAACGGTTCTAAATAAAACGCTAACTTAAGAAAATAAGGCGATATACGCATGCACAGCTTGTGCGGAAAATTTATTTGAGACTTGCATTTACGTGTTCACCAATTTGCTCGGTAAAAACGCAAATACAAGTAGTGTTTGCATTCACACGTAGCGCGCAGTTTGCGTAACGGCAGTGAATTCTTGTACTTACTTATTTTGTCTTCTTTTTCTAATTTGGTTAAATGATGGTTGACATTGCTTTCTGCAGCTTTGAGCAGATGCCATGGAGTTTCCTTTAAAAGATAAAAATCGTCTTATTAACTAAATACAGATAACTCAAGCTGCTGTATTTTAATCATTTGGATGCGTTTATTATGGTTCATATTCTTGATTTCAGAATTTAAGGTACGACTTTATATTTACAATTTCTAAATAACACTACTACAATTTGAATGTATAATCCTATAAAATGTTTGTAAACCAATCCCGAAATGACCGTGTATGTGAAAGCCGAAAAAGACTGGACCCCTTCAGTCCTCTTCCCTTTCTGGTGCTGGGTGCATGTCAGAAATTCCATTTGTGAGGTTAAAACATCTTACTGTGTAAACTTTCTTGACTATCTCCATGGCAGTCATTGGTTYATCTTGATTTTTCTGCAGTTCTTCCATTATCTATTAAAAAATGCAATCATAATCCATCACMAAGAGAGTACTCAAGAGTGACGTCACAAAAATACTCTTGAAGCGCATGGAAAAACGTAGCTATATACCAAATTTCAGTGTCCTAGTGCCATTTATAGCGGAGATACAAGCRATTTTATGGTCGGGTAACCACATACAAACGCTTGTAAATTTGCAGTTGTGTAAAAAGATAAATTAAACACCGTAAATTTAGCCTGAGTATCAGCCTCTCTCGAAGGGGTTTGGGGCGGAGCGAGAAAGGAGAGAGAGCCTCTGCCCTAAACCCCTTCGAGAGAGCCTGATACTCAGGCTACCGTAAATTTAAACACTTGTAAATGTGGTCTTGTTTATAACAAAAGGAACAAGACCATAAAATCGCTTCTATCTCTGCTATAAATGGCACTAAGACACTCATATTTGACAAGGATGCATTAAAAATGATGCTCTTTCAGGATATAGAGGGCAAATATAAAAAAATACAAATTTCGTTTTGTGACGTCATCACTTGAGTACTCTATTGACAACTAAGGTATAAGCTATTTGAATAATAAACTTAGATGAGAACAAAAATCACAAACAAACAATGTCACATAATACTGCCTGGCACTAAAAAGTTACTTGACTAGCATTTTTGTCATATTCTAGTTTGAACATTTTTTGGCAATCTTTTAGCTGATCTTTAAATAAACCACGTCAGTTTTTTGTTCTGGAAGTGTTTGTTAAATACAAGTGGCTATCTGGATTTCTATAGTGAATGACATGAGCTGCTAGACCTGCTTTCCTTGTGCCAGTTCAACATTGTTTGTGACAGCAAAATTACTTGTCACTATTCCTGGACACACAGACACTATGAGACCATAGGGTTTGACTAATTTTCAATTTAGTAGAATGAGTTTAGAAATAAAACATTAAAGTTT